TATATTATTAGGAGGCGGGCTTTCATTAAGCCTGTCAGGCTAACCCAGGCTAAGGGTGAGAGGGAAACAAGGCCCCAGCAGAAAGACCGATATAATATTACTTGACAAAAATGTTCCCCAAGAGTGAATCGAACTCGGATCTCCTGAGCCTCTATAAAGTTACTAACCTCCATCTCCAGCCTTTTTTTTTCAAATCCGTGTGGTCGGACTCGGGCCGGGGGAGGGTGCTCATCGTCCACTCCGGGAAGACTCGAATACTCTCTCACGACTTCAGACCTTCAGCTATAACATCCACCACCTGTCAGGCTAACGTGTTGAAACTGTGCGAATACTCGTATTGAATCTCCAGAGTATCACCGACAAGATATTTGTCTTTCCGAGGCTTTTTTTTCAAGGTGTTTTACGGCGCTTGCAACTGCATAAGACGATAATATAGGGACCTGTTTATTGCTACGAGCATGCTCCATAAATAATTATTTCCTTCTTTGTTCTTTACGTGGGCGGCTGGAGGGCGGCAGCTCCTACTTTTCAGCTTTTTTGGCTGCATTGTTCCTGTGTGTCTTTTTAGGGTTTGTTTTGTTTCTTTTTCTTTTTAAAGTTTGTTTTCACCAAACGACCGTTCTTGTTTGTTTCAAAATAAAAAGAGGGGTTCTTTTCTCTGGAAAAAAACCCCAATAACCTCTAAGCCTCTTCTTGAACTTAGGTCCCCCTTTTAGGTCTCGAACAGTTCATTTATAAACACACACGCTCACTCAACGTAGAAGATCTCAAAATGTTCAGCGTCACCATGGAAACGTTGCACGTAAGTAAACAACCTCTTGCTCATTGTATCCATCTTTCATTTGGTATAAACTGTTCGTTTTTAGACGAGCAAACTCCTTTCACACAACTGTACGTCTCCGACATAGCAAGACTAACAACAAAGAACCTTTGAGAATTATCGGATCAGCAAAGAACAGACCCAACACAGAAATAACCTAAAACCGATCGATTTTCATGGTCTCGAGGAAAATCTATTCCACATAAAGTCTTGCCACCCTTTGTCGAATGGCTTAAGTGCTTCTGTTTTAACAACTGTTCCCGATAAAACGCCACATCAGATAGGTAAAAACGAAAGGAACGACTCACTCTGCACACATTACGAACACCCGTTTTGAAGAAGCAATATATTATTTTCAATAGGTTACTGGCTTGAAAATGTGCTGACCTCAGCAAAGTTCATCTTGTACACAACAAGGATTTTAACACTAATTTTTAATGCCGTAACAGTCCAACATGTTGGTTGAGTGAGGCCCGTCTCACACAGTAGAAAACTGAGGTGGAAATCCAGTACTTAGAGAACACAAACACACGCATACATTTCACACAGAGGTCGTTCGTGATTTATTAACATAAAATAAGGGCAAAGTTTTGCTTTATATTGCGACGAAATTTTATGATACATCGTGTTTGGGGATGTAGGACAATGTGGCTATGTGTGATGAGCGAGCGAGAGAGAGAGAGAGAGAGAGAGAGAG